AGCCATGCTTGCCCAGCGCAGGCCTGTAGCTGGAGCCCTCCACCTGGATCCCTCTTAGCACATGAACACTCATATGTTTTTAATAGAAGCTTAATCTCCTATCTATGAGAGTCATAATTTAGCCTTTTCTGAAACTTCCATTTTAGTGTTGTGTACCTTATGCTTCAGCCTAGGAAACAATTTTTTAGAAATAGTGAATAATTGTGCTCCCAGATGCCATGGTTAATCAAGGATGTCCACTTGGGGTACACTCTTTAAAGCCCTTCCAATGCTAGCTGTTGTTATAGTATTGAGGAAAAACACCTCTGGATTCGAGTATACATGTTCACTCTAGCACTTGGAACACTATAGCCATGATTTTTGATCCTGATCTTCTGTTTACAAAAACAAAATGAGTAAGAGGACGTGAACAGCCCTGTTGGAAGGTGATTCTTGTAAAGTGAACCCTAAGAGACCTCGCTTGTCTCCAGGGGTGACTACTCCTTCTGGAATCACGGGTCCATGGTGAGATTAGGATAGAGGCCTTGAGCAGTATGTAGTGTTCCTGAGGGAAAGAGGGTCATGGGCGCTTCCTGATGCTCCCTGGGGCTCCCTGGGACAATGGACAATGAACGTGTGTTTCCCTTAATTTCTGGGATGCGCAGTGTGGGTGGATGTATATACTATGCATGTCCATACACCTGGCATGGTTTCCTCACCTAAACGACAACTTGTGTTCGATTATTATCATCCTCACCCGAGAGTTAATGGGATCAAGGCACAGCAAGACATAGTCATCCTGTTTCAGCTCACGTACTAAGTAGGCAAAGCCCTGACTTTCTTCATGTTCCTCTTTGTTCCAGGGAATCCAACCCAGGGCCTCAGACATGTTGGCATGCACTTTATGGCTGAGCTACATCCTAGCCTTTCCCTGAGGCTGTAAATCTTTCAACAGATAAAAAGAGGAAAGGAAAACAATAGTCTAGAACATGTCATTCAGACCAAGGAGTAAGTGGGTTCAGTCAGTAAAGTGCTTTCCTACCAGCTTGAGGCCTGGAGTCAGAGCCCCCGGATCCACGGCATACACACACTGAGGAGAAAGAGATTTCAGATCTCTGGAGCTCTCTGGCCAGCTAGTCTAGCAAGCGCTTCATCTTCAAAACAAAATGAAAAATCTCGAATCAACAAAGACAGTGACAGCCCCTGAAGAATAACCCCTGAGGCTGTCATACATGTGCCCATGAAATGCACATACGCCGGGCACCCGTGTGGTGGCACACACCTTTAATCCCAGCACTAGGGAGGCAGAGGCAGGCGGATCTCAGTGAGTTTGAGGCCAGCCTGGGCTACATAGCGAGTTCCAGGAAAGGCCCAAAGCTGCACAGAGAGACCCTGTCTCGAACCCCCACCCCACAATTAAGAAAAGAAAATGCACATACATCACACAAAGGAAGTTACCCCCTCAACCCA